TAATTAGCTGTCAGGTGATAGTGTGCTGCTCTCATTGTGCTCCCTGCTGCTGCACTGCAGGCTATGTGGTCAGCAGTCAGTCTCAGACTAAAGTGACAGATCATCTCTCTATACACCAGACCCCTGCAGCTGAAAGAGACCACTTGGTTCTTACAAAGAGATGCCCGCTCTCTGTATTAAGGCAGACTTCAATATCAGGTCACATAACAAACAGATCACTGACCCAGCAGAGACAAAGGAATCCGTTTGAGATCTTGCAAATAAAAACAAGAAAAAGTGACGTTTATCTCCCGCTGATAGGTGATTGATGATTGAATTTGGCTCTGAATTATTTAGTAGTTTTTTGGGTGTTTGTCACTTTGCTCAGTGTGGTGGTTTTAGTGGAGACATACTTGTCACACATTATCCAACCGGCAGCAAATCTGCCATATTCACACATGATCACACATATTGGAAGTGCAAAAAATAACTACAGTTTTCCCAATAAAAGCCATATCTCCTTACTTCTCAGGATATAGCAGGTCATTTCTGATATGAAGATATGACTTCTTCCTGTCTGTCTGTTGGGTCCACTGCAGGTCCTCTAGACAGTTCCAGTATACACCCAGGCAGCGGAGGGACCTTGTTTGAAGGTCATGTCAGCACCAGGGTGTAAACGTTAGAGCTTTTTGTGGTCAGAGTAAATGTACAAGGCCGCCCTGCGGGAGCACTCCTTCCCTCTCTTTAATTGGCATGTAACAGGCCCTTGTAGAGCCAAACTGTCTGCGACACATCAGCACTTAGAAATAAAAACCCCTCAGCCAACCCTGCAAACGACTGCGGTCGGAGTACGGCGGCTGGATCATTTCAGAGGGACAACACAGACGAGTGTGCTGGGGGAGCCAGGAAGAGAGAATCTATTCTAAGCCTGAGCGTTGCATTTTTATATCTTTCAGTTTCTGTGTTGATAAATAAATAAATCAATAGGTATTTATTATTTTGTTATCATATGGTGAATAAAGACTTTTGCATTGAGATTCAACAACCTTTTGTGTCACTGTGGTATTTATTTGCATTCTAATTGTTGGGGAAGATTCAGCATCATTACTGATTTTTTTTTTTTGCACTGAGATCTGCTGTGATGTGCAAAAACATGACTAGATAATAACAAAACTGTTTTTAACGCCACTATCTTTTGCAGTTGCCAAGTCTATATATACAAATTTTTACGAGACAAAACCCAAAGTGCATAAATGTCTGCCGGTCAGGCAAGCCAATCATCTGAAGGAGGCAAGAAAGCAAACTTAACAGTTCTAATGCTCCAACCGAGAAACTTAATTTACCAATTTGCAGGAAGACAAGATGGCAGGAAACAAGCCAATTTGCCACGTGTGCAGCGCACAGCAAACCGCAGGCTCGCTCCCCAGCCTCATGAGAGGTAATTATCCCTAAAAAAGAATGCCATGCTGTATTAAGATGTGGCCGCATCAAAACGAGGGAGACAGCCTCATTACGAGTGATTATGAGGGAATTAGAAACATCATTTAACTAAACGAGCAAATAATGTCCAGGATATTGAAGAAGCTGCCTGCACTTCTGCCGACCACTGCAAGTCCCATTACAAAAATTGTGGGTCTTTAATAGAATAATGACATGCTTTATCTTCCCTGCTTCTCTCTGAGGGTCCAGGAGCCGAGGGAAGGGCCGAGGGAGAGAGGGGAGGATGTGAAAACAACTGTTGCAGAGCTCTCCGTCTCGGTGGTCTCACGCTCGAGTGTGCAACGTAAGGCCTTCAAGATAATCCCCCTATTATCCTTACAAATACAAAATGGAGAGCAGAAAATTGTATGTCGCAGCCATTATTGTGTCAAAGGTAATGCTAATGGACTTATCTCTYGAGTAATGGCTGAGTTTTCCACATATACTGTAGTCTGTAATAGTCTGATGCATATTGTGCCATGAGTGGCACTTCAAACAGACAGTTCAAGAAATGGTCGGTAATTTAGCAATGAAGCATAATGCAGTTTGCCAATGAAGGCCTGATCTACAATTTTTGGTTAAACATATTTCTTGGAAAGCTCAACTTGGAGTCTGAAAGCTTTTCATTGTGGTTCAAATAGGAGAGCTGTTCAACCTTTATAACATTAAAAAAAAACCTAAAAATCTCCAGTTTTATTGTGGTCACTCACATCAYYGCGAGTTTAAACAATCTGATTTTGCCGCTGACACGTTTTATTTTACACCAGATGCAAACATTACACACAAAGAAAACTCTTYTCATTTTCTGCCTCGTATAATTTCACAAGATTTCCAAATAATTTCTGTAATAAATCCATTTATTTCTCGTCCCCTCTGCCCGGCAGAATATGCGTCTTCTCTTGAGGGGAAGGGACTGTGGAGGGGAGGGGGTGCAAACACAATTTCCCTTCAGCTCCTTCATTTCCAGTTGATATAAAACAGAATCATAAAAAATCACTTCTGCTCCAAGCTCTCTTTTTTAACCATTAACTCATAAATACAGCAGCTGGTTAAAGCCAGCGGATGACAGGGCCTGCCTGAAAAACCTTGTTACGCTCCTCTCAAATTCATTTAGGGAGCAAACAGGTCTTGAGAGTTGTCTGGCTTAATGCATTGCGATCGCTTTTAAAACTCTTGTCTTGAAGGCAGACCCGAAGCTCTGCATCTGCKATGGTGTTGCGCCTCGTGTCCATTCATTTTAATAAGAGGCCGCTCGTTTTCTTCTTAAATCAAATGGCTGTAAATAYGTTTGTGAGCTGGTTGAAAAGCTCTTATCCAAGTAAATGAGGAAAGGGGTGAAATTAGTCAAAGAAAAAGATCTTGAGAGATAATAGAGTAGAGAATAAAAGTGGCATTTCTATGTTTTTTTCTTTTTGCACGCTGTTTAAACTCAACAGCGTTTTGATTCATGTCATCTTATCTCAAGGTGTAAAAGAGGGGGATATTTTTGGGGAAGTTTTCCTTATAATTCATAACGATCTTCWAAATATGCTCTGAAAATTATCCAGAGAATCAATTTGGCCAGCACATTATTTCTTTGCCTTTCCCTTCCCTGCTGTGTGTAGCCCATATTTTCCATTATTCCCATCATAAATTACCCCACAGAGTGAATTACACTTGCTTTTCACCTTACCAGGCTGCTTTGATGAATCCTAAGGCAAAACATATCATCTCGGCAAATCTTCATCGCCGTGCCAATCGCCGTCTCTTTGCAGCTTAAACCCCCTCAAATCATTTTCATTGCCCCGCTATTAAAATCAGTAATTCACGCCTGCCATTGCGATGAGTTACGTCGAAGACTCTCCTCTGCCTCACATCTATCCTCGCCTTTCCCTCTTTTGCTCCTTGCAGCATCTGTGCACACTCCTCGCGCTCCCTGGCTTCTAAATCAAGCGTCTGAAGGGTGACAGGTCATGCAGATTCCCCACAAGTCAGCGGGGTGCAAGCATCCATCCAAAAGAGAGGCGCAATGTCGTCTCACGCGATGACATAATGACCACTTGGAAACTAATAAACAGCTTCATTCAAGCAAAGCTATTGCTCCTTTTTTTGTAAGCATTACTGCCCCCCGCACCTCCATCCTCCTCTCTGTCTTCAATCCTCCATCCTCATCCCTCCTCTTCCCTCCTCTTCAACCCTCCATCCTCCTCTCTGTCTTCAATCCTCCATCCTCATCCCTCCTCTTCCCTCCTCTTCAACCCTCCATCCTCCTCTCTGTCTCTCTTTCCTCTTTCTCTCTTATCTGTCACAAATTCATCCTCCTGCACCTCACCTCTTTGCTGCAGCTGGAGTTACCCATAAATCACATCTGTTGTCTAACGCTATCCATTTTCCCAGAAACACCGGGGCGACTGTTGCAGAAATTGGGTCAGGCATAATCTGTGAGGCAGCAGAGCCTGGCTAGTCATGATTCTGCCAGGTRATGTAGCCATTAGCACACRGAGACAGGGGGAGGTGGGGGGGTGRCTCGGTGGGATGGATAGAGAGGGTCGCATGGGTGGAAGGGGCTCTTCCTTGTACATGATGTGACACCCAGGAACACCTGGCAAATGACATAATTTTATTGCTTCCCATCAACCATAGACATCTGAGAGCCTGCCCTGTAGGCTTTAGATTCATGTGTGATTATGTCCAGGTTACAGATTTCCATCAATTACATTGTTAGAAAGTTTAAGATTTGTTTTGTTCTTTTGATGGTGAGTTAAGGTCTTGAAAATCAAATAAAAATAAAAGTTAGTCCACATTTTGACTTTTAGACTGTGTGTACCATCCGTTACTCAAGAGAGGAATAGTGCAGCTCAATGACAGCCAGAGTCTTGAACTTTTACAATATTCTTTAGTCTCAGGTCTCCCCTTACAAGGCCTGATGCTCAGTAGGCAGACTTCAAATGAGAGAAGATCAGAGGAATGATTGGTTAATTATAGAGCGTGTCTCCTTTCTAGCTAGGCTTTATCTACTCCATCTAAAGCAACATTCACTTCTTTATTTACTGGACATGGGAAGGTTACTGTTTTATTTGTTTTGTACTTTTGGAAAGGAAGCGAACTTTGAACTAGATGCCTGGCAGGTGAATAACTTTTCACGATTTTTTTTTCTTCAACACAAACTGAAATCCACCTGTCCAGAATGTTTGCCAGAAACTGTCCTTCAATGTTAATTTACCTTTTGGAGTTCAGGTTTTTCCCGTAAATGGTAAAATGAGGGGGAATAAATGCRGAACAATATTTCAGCAAGGAATTAGTGCTGTCCTAAGAAGAAAATTATAAACCCTTATGAACATTTTCACACACTGGATAACATATTTACTATTTTTTATGTTTGAAAAATCATCTCTAATGCAACAAAATAATGTAACCAAACAAATGTAATTTTCACTGAAATAGAAAAATTTATTGAATATATTTATAATTGAGGGGCTAAATTACAAAAGAAACAATGATTTTTTTTTCTATGTGGAAATTTGTTGTTGTTTTTCTTATCCTTTATTAAAATAAAAAAGCCTGATTTATGACTTCATGTTTTTTTATGTTTTTCAAACCAATTTTACATAAAAGCTTTGAAAGCAGCTCATTTTAAATCCAGTTTTCTCAGTTGTAGCTTAGAGCTTTGAATTCAGTCCAAAACTAAACAGGAAACAAAAAATATAAAAGGTACAAATATGGTTAGAATAATTATACACATGGTGTATTTTATACATATAGGGAAGCTTGGTTGCTTTCTCTTGAGTCTTACAGATGCTGCATAAAGTTTTTTTTTTCTCTTCAAGAAAAAAAAATACAATTATACAAGAGACTGGTTTCCTCCCATAAACCAAAACAATCATGCGTGTCAGATTTAACTGGTGACTCTAAATAGGTGTGGGTGGGAATGTGAGTGGTTCGTTTGTCTCTATGTGTCCCTGTGATGGACTGGAAACATGGCCAGGGTGGACCCCACTTCTTTCACAGTGACTGCAGGAGACAGACACCAGCTTCCCCGCGAGTCGCCAAAAAGAAAAGCCGGTAAAGAAAATCATGGATAATATACAAGTTATGACATTGTTTTATAATGCGAACTGCAGGTGGAGAACACGCACAGTCAAGTCAGTCAGTACTCGATTTTGTTGTACAGGTTGTATAAAGGTAACGCTGGCAGGTTGCTGCTCCCCGGGTAATAAAGAGGCGTCGGGAAGGCGATGGAGCGGGGAACTGGCACGCGCAGTAAGTTGTTATCTCTGAAAACCAGCGGCATCCCCACCAGCGTCTGTGCGGAGGCGTGAGCCATGTTGGCCGCCTCCAGTTCGGCAGAGAGCTGCCGCTTCCACTTGTTCCTCCGGTTCTGAAACCACGTCTTGACCTGAGTCTCCGTCAGCTGCAGGCTGGACGCCAAGCAGGCCCGCTCCGAGCTGCTCAGGTAGCGCTTCATGTCGAAGGTGGACTCCAGCTGGTACACCTGGCTCCGGGAGAACACCGTGCGCGTCTTCTTCTTGGCCGAGTTGCCCTGCTTGTCCGCGCCGTCCGCGTGCCTGTCCTCCGACAGCGGGGACATTTGGTGGCACGGTCTGTCCTGCTCCTTCTTATAATCCTGCAGCAGAGGCTGGGGCAGGTGCGGCCGCCGCGCGAGCCCCTCACTCGCAGACAGAAGACTTTTGGCGGAACCTGAACGCACCAGGAGAAATACATTACAATAATACATTTTTTTTAAATAACTGCTGTTTGAATAAGAAAACATATTTTGCATTTTAAGCTCAGCACGTGTCGACAGTTGAACGACACCTGTGACATAMATAAACAACTGGTGTGGTTACAGTGGGCTATTAATTTAATTCAGCTCTATTTGCCGCTCAATTGGCGACGGGTGGGGCCCAGTGCAGCCATTTTGGAGACRTGTTTCTTCAATTAGCAAGCTCAATTAAATTTGAAATCAGAAGACAGACATTAAGCTATTTTTGGCCACTTTTTCAGGCTGGTGCTGGGATGATAATCTGCATAACAAAGTGCAACAAAGCCATTAAGAAAACCCAAAGTATAAATATGAACAAAAACACAAATAGT